CCGGAGGCTTCCGCCGGCTGCGTTCTTTTCCGGCTGGGGCTTTGCTAGGGGGGAGCGGGGGGCTCGGGGACGAGTTGGAGGTTTTGTGAAGGGGAATCTCCCGGCGCGGCAAGCCGAAGCCGGGATGCTCGCACTGAGGCGGCGTAAGAGGCCGCGAGGAAGGGACTGCCCGGAGTCGTGCAAAATCCTCGCCGGGTCCGGTTTTCTCTTGGCCGCCAGACGCTGTCATACCCGGTCCTGTAACTTACCGAGTTTTAAATTTCCCCTTTCAGCTGAATAGTAATAGCAGCTTTAGCTGCTGCTGCTGCTTCTTTTGCAAGGCTAACTTTGTTATGTATGCTGGAAAATCTGTTTGAAAAATTGAAATAGTAAAATGATGCAGGAACTGACATGTTTCTCTGTCTCTTCTACAAGAGACTAATACGCAGTAACTTACCTCATTTTAAAGAAGTAGTTGTCAAAGAGGTCATAATCGTGGTTTGTTTTTTTTTAATGTGTAGTTTCCGTTTTTAAGGGTACTGCTTTACTTGAGATCGAATGTGGGTATGTTTCGTCAGCACTTTTGCTCTGCTTAGATAATGTTGAGGAACTATGTAGTTGAAGCTGATAATGCAGAACTTTCATAAACCAGGACTTCACATTGTAGCGTAAACCCAAATAAATAAAGGATGTGCTATGTTTCTTGCAGTATTTGAGCTTTGCTTGTCATCTTAAGGAATAACTACGTGTATATATTGCAGTAGCAAGACAGTTGCAAGTGTTTTGTGTCTTGGCTTTTGTTACTCTGGCATCATTTTGAATGTAGCTTTTTATCTAGCGGCACTTGATTTTCCAGCTTGAGAGGATTAAAAAGGAAAAAAGCTGGAAAAACATGAAACACCGGATGAAATAAGAGAGCACCTTTGTAGAAATATCCCTTGGGTTGTGCTGTAGACATCTTTAGTACTTTGTGAAAACTTTGTGATAAACCAGTACTTTGGTTTATCAAAATATCGGTGTTTTTGAAATCTAACAACTTTCAAAACTGCTTGCTGCAGCTCTGTCCTGCCTGTGTAGACCAACGGCTACTTACACTGATGAAATTAACAAAGTGAAACTCTGATTGCTTGGCCTCTGGTCGCCCGGAAAACCTGGATTATTGCAAACTGTGAAGTGGATACTCAGAAATGACCAGCTGAGTTCCCACCGCTCCAGTAGTTGGTTAATCCATCTCAGTGGATTTAATTCAAACAGCATAGTTGATGATTTGTTACAGGCTGTTAACAGTGTAGACTTTGATCATACCTGCTTTTACAGGACTTAAGTAGGTGAACAGAGAGACCAGGAAGAGAAAGAAGAGGGGGCTGTTAGTTACATCTTAAGGCATCGTCTCCTTTAAACCTTGGTGTTAAACTCTGCATTTGGAATTTGGACTTTTCTGGGGTGTTTTATATATGTGTGTGTGTGTGTAAACACACACAAACACATATACCTGTAGCCTTAGATATTATATTGTAGTCTTATCAGGGTTACCCTCAAAAGCTCTGAGCAGTAGGATGAAAGTAACTAGTCTATATACTCACTTTCCATAAATACCACTAGAACGTTACAACTTCTTCTACAGTTTCAAACTTCAGTTCCCACTATTAGAATTTCATGACACTTGCCAGAACGCTGAAGAGACTTCCCAAGGTTAGAAAGCTTTAAACACTAGTAGCAGAGAAGTCTGGGTGAGTGCCTTAAGGAAGAGGAAATCCGTGCTCTAATGTTACTGTGTGCCTGAACTTCTGCTACAAAGTGTCAGATGGACTTTCCTAACTATTGATAGCCCATTAAGGATATTGCGGCCACTGTGTTTTGTGCTCGACTGAATTGTATTGTGGTGATAGAAAACCTAACTGGATGGTGAGAGCTCGGATAAGGGCGGCAGTTTAGGGTAATAACGATCAGACCTAAGTGGCAGCTTCTTCGCCTGGGAATGAATGTGAGAGTTGCTTCTCTGTAGCACCTGAAAGCACCAGATACCAGGTTTTGCTGATGAGAGGTGCTTCTGTTTCTTTCTAGTTAAATCAGTTCGTTGCTAAATAACATAATCTTCACTTTTGGATATTACAGCGATGAACATTCAGTTAGAGAGGTGATAGGCAGAGAATCATTCTCGGGGGGAACAAAAAACTGCGTTACTCGAGGGCATTCTTTCCAAAACACATCCATGAAAAACAGGATGCCAAGTGTGTGTGCAAGTAGAAGAATAGCGTCTATTACACAGTGGAATTCCCTCTGAACATGACAGTAGGTCATAAGGTACATAGCTTTACATGTTGACCCTCAGCGGGGTTTATTGATTTGAAACGATCGGCTGCTTAACAGTCCAGATTGCTACACTCAAATATGTTTATTTGGATTTATAAAACAGGTGGGAATATCTAGAAATTCTCATAGCCTTTGAAAAAATAAAATATAGGTTTAACTTATTTTAGTAAGCTAACGGAGGAAATCCTTTTCCAAATAAAGAATTCATTTGCTTTCAGGAAAGCAAATTATGTTTTTTTTGCCAGCAGTCTTGAGAATAAGTGAACAGTCTGCTGTGGAAGCCAATGGACCATTAATGAGTGGGTTCGGAGAGCTATGGGGGTCTTTCAGAGAACAGTATGCTTTTAACTTGCTTTCTTTGGTGCCAGAGAGTATTCTTAAAGCAGTGGTTTCACATCCTGTCTCTTGTGCTGGCTCTAGCGCTTATCTGACCCTTTCTGAGGCTGATCCAGCGTCCAGAGCTGTCAACTCAGTGTAGTGAAATAGCTCTGTTCGAAGGAATGCTGGAGGAAGGTGGGCACGCCACAGCTAGTGGGTAGGTCCTGCCTGTCAGTTGAAGAGACCTGTCCTGTGCAGCCATCTGGAAGTACTCTCTGTGATAAAAGAATCATTTGTTACATGAAGTAGTGGTTCTGGTTGTTCTTGTTGGCAGAGAAACCAGGGGCTCTTGATGTTTGCAGCGATACGTCCTTGCTCGATATGGCTGTGACGGAAGTACTCTTTGTGTCTCTTTGTAGCACCATTGTTGTGGTATTGAATACATGTTTCTCTTAATTCTAGGTTTGCAGCCTGCATGGACGAATTCACATCTCTTTCGTAGATGTAAAATTATTTTTTTCTTTGGAGTCACTTGAATTCTTATGCTTTATGTGTAGAAACTGTTCTAATACTGTGTGAACTATGGATATGGTCACATTGTGACTTCTTTGTAGAAAAACATCCGTATTGTAATGTTTGGTACCTTTTGGAACTTTTTGTAGAAATACATTAACTTTTGGAGATGTCAACCAAGAAGAAGATAGGTAATTAAGACTTGAAACTGCATATTTTCAGTATTCTTACATCAGTACTTTAAGTTGGTATTTTTCTAACAAAGATCTCTGATGTGTATCTGTTCCACTCTTGCAGACCTGCTGAATGGTGGTTGATACAGAAATAATTAACAAAAGACAAAATCCTTAACTTAAATCTTCTATAAAAATGGACATTTTATGTTCATTTCCTTAATAGAAGTAGAAGTGCAATGGTATTAAAGGAGGAGTAAAGGGAAGATACCACACATCTGTCAATAAGCAAATAAAATACTTGATTTTTATTTATATTTGGTTGTGTGTTTAAATGCTCTGGATAACCAAATGGTATTAAAACAGACATCTCTTCTTTAGAGGGAGAGGTTTACACTCCTTTGTCAACAAAACATCTTGCAATCTTTAGTTGTAAGAAAATGTCAAAAACAGAGAATAAAGAAGGTGCAGGACCTATTGAAGTATTATTGAAATTATGAAATAAGAAATAGAAAATGTCTTCCCTCTTGTGACTGGACTGTAGACTGCTGAGTGGATGGCCTTTTTCAACTCAGGTAGCAAACTCACAAGTAATACCTATTTCTGTTTATTATGACGGGGTTTTTTCCCCTTTCATCCAGAGCACCAAGGAACATCCATGTTAGGTTCAAGAGTAGTAAATGGTGTGTTTACTAATGTCCAGCAATGACTTAAATCTCTTCTGCTCAGCCTCCCTTTAACTTGTTCAAAACTCAAATGGAATTTTTCCATTTCAAAGTCTCCACTTTCAGGAAGATTATCCTTAACCATCTATATGTTGTTTCAGTGATAACTTTTTTAGGTGAAGAGCACCTCTGCATGTAGTTTTACTGTGTCTATTTCCTAGAAATATTAAAGATATAAGACGACGTGTTTTGGGTTTTTTATAACATGATCAGGCAGATAACATTCTTGTTGCTTTTTCTGGTGATCTCTCAGTCTTCATGTCTTGCATCAGATGAAATCTGTATTTCATCCTCTTTCAATTTATTCTGGCTTCATTTTGCTGTATGGCAAAGTTTCTAGAATTTAATTGTATAATTTGTCTTATAAATTTGAGTTTTTAAGCACTAGTGTTTAAGCTTTATATCCTTGTCAGCAGATATATGCAGAGTCTGTCGGTCTGAAGGAACTCCTGAGAAACCCCTCTATCATCCGTGTGTGTGTACTGGCAGTATTAAATTTATTCATCAGGAATGGTGAGTTCTGTGTTTGTGGGTTTCTTAATATATTTTTTTTAATAAAACACATTAACGTGTTCTAAAAACAATACTTCCTAAGTCTTCAGGTTAACTAGTAAGAAAATCCAATTTTCAGCAGAAACGTGTTAGCAGTTTTGATGTTTTTTACATGATGGTTCATGACAGTTCACAAAGAATTTAGTAATTATATATGAAAAGAAAGTACTGATTAATTGTTTGTGTTTAGGACTACAGTTCTGCTCGTATGTCAGCTTTATGAAAACTAAGCAGAAAAATCAGTGTGTTGGGGCTTTTTCTTCCCACTTGTAGTTGTGAATAAAAAGAACATCTAACCTCATAGCAAGAAATAAAAATACCCTAGTACTTTTTGGTCATTTTGAGCTGTATGATCAGGGAAATGCTTAAGTGAAAACTGTAATTCTGGTCTACAGCACACAGTCCTTTTGATGGTATTTTAATAGCCATTCATTCACAAATACAACAGTTCTAAATCTTAGGTGTGTGCACATATGTGTCATATCTTGAAATATTAATAAGGATTGGTGTTGCTGGTGGGTGTCCATGTCAGGATATATGCTTTGAGTTATTAGTCTTTTCAGTAACGTACTCAAAGAATGTACTTTATCAAGAATGTAAGTGATGTAACTGAAGAGTCGCTATTACTCATAGTCAGCTTACCTTTTTCAATTTTTGAAACTTACTTGGTGGCCTAAATGGACTTAATAAACATGCTAATTTAAGTCCTGCTTGATAGTACCAATATATTGATTTATGTTTGAAAACAGAGAATTGGTGTATTTTCCTTAATGGAGGGATAAGGCGGAGAGATGTAACAGCATGTATTAATATGATCACTTTTTATTGCAGCTTAGTTCAGTGGCTTAAACACAGCAGAAAAGAATACTGTGAATTATGTAAGCACAGATTTGCTTTCACACCAAGTAAGTATGTTTTACTGCTCCTATTTTTTCAGAACTCCTTTTTTTTTTTCCCTCTTAGTATATATGAAGTGATTACTTTTTCATTCAGCATGATAGATCCAAACTCGTGTTTTAACTTCTATATTCTTGTTTGAATTGCAGTTCCTATGCGTATTATTGCAGACTGTGTGAATTCTTTAAATAATGGATAATCTGGTTCTTTCATAATCGTATGTGAGCCATAAAAGTAGTAGTATTCTGTACCTTTTCTCACTGCCTCAGTCCCATTCTTTTGTTGCTAATATTACAGCGTATTGCATGTTTTCAGCTTCATTGATAAATTTGAGTGTTTGGAAGTCTGAATGTTAAGGTGAAACCACAGCAAAATTTGAATTTGAAAACCTGTTTTCAGTTACCTTTGAACTATCCAACTGTAACACTACCACATGACTTCTGTCAGTTTCAATTCAAATGTCTTTGACAGATAATGCAAATAACAATTATTCCACTTGCATTTCAGTCAAGATACAGTAACTACCCAGTACTACATTGCCTTTTATGTTAGATTCAACTAAAGAAGTTAGGCAACTTACGGTGAAGAATGACTGTATCTTTATATAGTTCCCAGAGGATTCTTAATTACATTTTAACCGATAGTAGTAGAAATAAGTGAGGTCCTTTGGCTTGGTGGCAGGCTAGGCTCGTTATTTAGTATTGCCAACTTATTGACTGTTGAACAGGTAAAGTGGTTCTTGTGCTACGTATTTTTCTCATTAAATTTATTTGTGCTGAATTATTATTTACAACTG